GCGGTGAGTACACGTGGGTAATTATCACTGATGTCGACAGCCCCTATATTACCTTGTCAGTCATTTCATTCCCGTACACATACATCGATCCGCCACCTACACATTCAGGCACCAGACAGGTGAAGGAAGTAACACACTGTGTTGTCATATAGGGCAGCAACGTGACACCATTTCTCCCCTCAAGCTGATCGTGTTACGAAGCCATCAAAAATGGGCAGCATAAGATTTGAGCGACTTTGGCAAGGCCAAATCTTGATCGCTACTAACTGCGGTCAGAGCATCTCCCAACCTGCAGCTCTCCTTGGGCGTTTCCTGGCTGCGGGTGTCAGCCCCCTTCGTACTCTCAAAGTGTTCCAAGCGCAAGACCAAAGCAGTGAACCAGAGACCAGGGTCATGGCTTGGACTTTTGGCCAGGTTTACCACCGCTTGTCCTTACTAAGCCTGGTCCTAACCTGCCTAAGGTCTGTCTTTGTTACACCGGAATCTTTAGAATAGACTAACGAACGCCGTAGCCTCGTCTTTACCTACACCTGGTCTTAGCTTGCACTTTCCGCACGTGCATGCCCGCATGTGCCAATTTTTTGCAGTTGGTTGGACGAAAAAACTATTGGTAAATGCCTGTCTTTACAAATTCTTAATTATTCTACAGCTATCTATTTACATTTTCTTGTAGAAGTGCTTATATATTTCTAAAAAACCACCACTGTCCGCATCTGTTGTAGCCCTCGTTTCGTCTTGATATGCCCACTCATTAACACACCAAAAAGTAATTCATTTTCCGCCTGTATTTTTTAATTCTTTCCACCTGTTGAACAACACATCTCAGTTTGCAGACAGATTGCTGACTATAAGGCGTGTATATCTCCTGTTACAATCACCCTAGATTTTGAGGCGTATCTCTAACAGACGCGGTTGCGTTTGCGCTTTTTTGGTGACTGACCCGAAATTGTTTAGAATTGCAGCTGTTGTTACACGGAGCCACTATGTTGTCTCTATCCCATCCTTGTAGCACGTCGTAGCCATGCCCAGGTCCATGAACAGGAGACAGTTCGATTTACAGTGGGAGCCAATAACTCTTTCAAGATTTTACATCAGTGCCATGTGACAATTGTGGATTGAGAGATAGCACTATCGATGTATAAAAAGATGGACGAAATTTGGCTGGACAGCTAAGCTGAAACGTGGTGTGTGTGTGGACAGTGTGTGTTGCTGAGATGCGTCCGCGACGATGGTTAGGATACATGTACTTGTTGAGTCCACTCTTTGCTAAAACTTTTCTTGACATTGATAAGAATGTAAGATCAGATTTGAACATATTTTGGGATGGTTCACTTGTGCGGCATCTGGTGTGTGTGTGTGTGGTCGCCGTGCGGTTTGGTAGTTGTTGGAGAGAGAGACCGTGACAGTCATAACATCCGAAGAATATGCGTTCTGTCAGAATGCTGATTTAGCATTACATGGTGAATTCAGAGAAAGAGTTTGAGCCAAAGGAGTCGGAACTCGAAACCCACGAAAAGACTTAGAAACAAGGTGTATCTAATCATTCAGCAGTCTCAGCAAAAAGACCATGTCGTCAAAGAGAACACTTCTCAGCTTACTGGGGTCAGAAGTGGACTTCTCACTCATGTTCGTGATGAAATGGGATAGGTAGTAATCTTAAAAAAAATAGGCACGTTGGTTCAGGCTTGTTGCAGTAATAGCTCATGTCTTGAAAGTAAAGTTAAATCTTGGTCGGATGTAAGTAATTTCTGCCTGCTCCAGTACTTGGCACTGGGCTACACTGTGGAAAGGATGGCGATACAGAGAGATAGTGCTTCGTGGGTAAAACTGCGCATGTTATGAGTGTGTCAGCCAGAGGTAGGCCAACGCAAGGGGCTCTGCTTAGAATACGCTCCTCAAGGAATCTTTGGGTGATTGGTACAGATATATACAGCCTTCTATAGCTCACAATCTGTCCAACATGGAGATGTGTGTGCTTCAACAGGTCTGGGAAATTAGAAGACAATAAGGCGGGAAAATGAATTACCTTTTATGTCGCTGGTCGTGGTAAATGAAGGCGATACTCAAGGATCCAACCAGGCTGCAACACAAATCGGGGACATTTGGGTCGTTTGTTTATAATATATTAACATTTTGACAGAAGTAATGTAAAGTAATTACTGTAAATTAATTTAAGAATTTGTCAGAAGACAGGCATGTTCACAGATAGTTTGGTTCTCGAACAACTCAAAAAGAATGTGCAGCAAGATGGCGGCGCGGAGTCACGTTGAAAAGCTGGCCAACGTGAGAGACGCCACGGGTTTTTTGGGCTTACGGTCCAAGACCAGTTTAGGTTTGCATTAGTCGTGATTCAAAGGAGATTGGGCTTTTACAAAGGACAGACTTAGAGTTTTAGGACCGGGGGCCTTAGTAAAGACCAGTGGTTACAGACCGTGGGCGCCCGAAAAAGCTCCGATAGTTCCACTGGACCCTGTCTCGTGTTCGCACTGCGCTTCGTTTCTTGCCTGTGAACACTTGTTGACGTAGGTAGCTTGACCGACCCGCGACGGCAGGAACACCCCAAAGGAGCTGGCAGGTTTGGAGATGGGCTGCGTCGACGCCATCTGATCTAGCCATCACGAATTGCTTGGCCCTTTGTCATAAGTCGCTCAAGGATCCCTGTATGGCTGGCGCCGCCGCCGCATTTTTTCGATGGGGCTTCTGGAACAGCATCAACGGCGCTGTGGAGGCACAAAGTTCACTTGCTGCCTAATATATCAACAATCAGTGTTATTCACTTCACCTGTCTGTTGTCATAATGTTATGGCTGATCGATGTATTTACAAGGGATAAAATTACTACAAGTAATATAAGGTGTCGATCATAGTGATAATTAACCCACTGTACACTACCCACCCAGCACCAAGCAGTAGATAGACACAGCTAGACACTATCTGGTGAATGTATGAATTGAGCATCTAGCAGCTAAAGAGCCAAATACTTTTCTAAGGAGTTAGGGGAGACCAAACTATAGAGGTAAAATGAATATTGGGCTTCAGTTGAATGTGTAAAAAAATTCTTAATACAGTCACCATAACAACTTTATAATATATGTCAATGTTTTGTTTATAGCCTGTTTCTGCTGCCCTCAAGTTACCTAAAAAAGCCAATCTTAGCCCTAGCTATGTTAGCTAGCTAACAATAAACTAAGCCCAATCCTCAACCTCAGAGAGCAGCACTGCAGAAAAGACTATTCAAAGGGGAGACAAAGATACAACACTACAGTCAGTTATACTGGCAACACAAACCTACATTTGACGACAACCTAATATTTCAAACTCACACTGCTGAAGCCTCATATTAGTTTCTGCTGAACTGAATTTCATCAATGTATATATGGCATGTGAGTACTGTATTAAGATAAAGTCTTACCCTTTACTACTATTCTTATATGTAAAATGTAAAGGCAAATCAGTTATCAGAGAATAATACTAAAAAAAGAAAAATGTCAGGTTTTTAGATTCTGTAATTCTGAATTGGAACTTTTTAAACAGTAATTTAATAGTCAATAGGGGTAATCCATAAGAAGGAATGCAGTTATGACACATTAATTGATAACCTGGGTTTAGCCTCCATAGAGTACGTTATGTCCAATATAATGTGGTCACAAAAATTTTCATCATCTTTCTAATGTTGCCCAAAGCGTCACAGAAGCAGAAAGTTTAGGTTATGTCACAACATGAAACAAACAATTGCAATGCTGCATCTAAGTTGAATGAGTATAACAATTGATGGCCTTTTATGGCAAACTGTTGACTTGTTCCTCTTCAGTCATTTTTTGTAAACTCCCCCGCCTCCCAGCGCAGAGCCATGGCACTCTTGCGTCTTCCTCCCGTGTAGTCCTCTGGAAACTGAAATAGACAGTTGTTTATTTACCTGCTTTTCAAGCACTTCCTCCACATCCTCCTCCATCACCACCGCCTTCACTCCCACCTCCTCTCTCAGATTATTAGACTGGAGGTGGAATAAGCAAATCAGTTTTGTATGGTAATGTTGCAGATCAGAGCAATCTACATTTTGCCACAAACCTTTCTTTTTACTGTAATGCTAATATTTTTCAGTAGGTATAATACAAACAAAAGAATATTAAAATTTTTCTATTGATGATTATGATTGTGTTTGAGCAGGAGCTTACTCGGTGATCGCAGGATAAAGCAGAGCGATCCATCCTATAGGCTGTTTTCATTGGGGATGATGGTGAGGACTTGCACTTCACTGGTACATCAACTAATAACAGACCAAAGATCAACATTAGATTGAAAGTAAACACACAGTGTTGTAAATAATGTATTGTTCTGAGGTCAGTATTTTGGTTACATACCTGAATTGTCAAATGCCAAAGTGTCCATGTGATTTGACAGAATCCTTTCTGTATTGAACCTGTCTTTGCCGTACAGATTTGCCCTCTCTTTCCTCAGCTCTTCCTCCCTCTGCTTTACCATCTTAATCTCTTCATCCACCAGCGATATTGAGCTTCTTGAACGCAGCTTGAAAAAGGGGTTGTTCAGGAACATTTTTTCTTGGGGCTGCTCACACGCTTTGTTGAGGGAGAAATCTGAGGCACTGCGAATAATCAGATTGGATGTCTCTAGGATAATGACGTTGGAGCCATTGTCCTCAGAACGCCACTCACCGGACCGAGCTGCCACGTTGTCTTTGCCATGTCTGGGGCTGGAGGAAAAATCATTGCTAGGGTCAAGAATGATAACGTTGTTTGCTGACACTTCGTTCTTCAGTGGTTCCTTTGTGGGTGAGGAGGTGATGATAAATGATGGTGTGAGAGGAGTGCTTATGGACCTGGGAATATTTCGTGATGGAGCGCAGTCAGTTGATTTGCCCATCCTAGAGATGCCCCTTTCTCTCCTGAAGTTTTCCTCCCTCTCTATTGATATGCGAATCTCCCTTTCAACTGGTGTTTCTGGATCATCGTAAGGAGACCTGTAACTGGAATCATCCAGGCCAGAATCCTCTGAGCAAGGGCTGAATTGGGTGTGAGGATAATCCCCAACCAGATTCAAGCTCTCCAGATCATGTGCTTTCTTCTGGGTTCTTTCAATGTTGCGAACTGGTGTGTACATAAAACTGTGGCTGCCATGAAAGCTGGGTTGCTTGGTTGTGGGTAAGACGATCTTGTTCATGGTTTGCTCCTCCATTTCCTTCCACTGTTTACGAGCCAGCTGGAAATCCACATGCTCTGTGCTGACATTCTCACTCTTGGTCTCCTGTATCACACAGAAGTCTTTAGGTAGCTTCTTGTTTGAATCTGAATTGATGTGCTGTTGGTGGTTATAGTTAGCATCTCTGCCATTTTCACTCTCATCCTCAGAGATTTTGGACAATCCTTGAAGGCCTAAAGGGTTATATTTAACCTCTTGAGGAGGAGTCGGAAAGGAAATTTTATCATCCGGTTGTTCCAGAACTTCCTCCACTTGTGGAACCTCAAAACGGACCTCTTCAAAGTTGCGATTGTCTTGTTCTTCAAAGTCTGTTACCTCAACTTTCTGCACAAAAAGTTCCTGGGCACTCAGCTCAAGACTGTCCAAATATGAGTCATCGTCTTCTTTATTTATAGAAGAGGAGAATATTGTTCTCCATTTTTCATCTGTGTCACTATCTGAGGAAGCCGCTGCAATCTCAACTCTCAGGCATTCGTCCATTTCGTCAGGGTCAAGGTCATGGCAAGACTCATTGGACACATCTGACATTGCCTCTTGTCTAATGCACTGCTCTAATACTGACTCTTCTGTAATGGGTGGTTCAAATAGGATGTCATGGCCTTCTGGGTCTTCCTCTGTGTCTATTGCGAGATGTTGATAGCCATCATTATCGGGATTAACCTTATTTTTCTCATCCTCAGGCTCTGGTTCAGGGTATAATTCTAGCTCAGGGTATTGCTCTGACTCAGGGTACTTGTCTAGTTCAGGGTCTTGTTCTGGCTCAGCGTAGTCCACCAGTTCAAGGTCTTCTTCAGGCTCAGGGTATTGCTCTAGTTCAGAGTCTTGTTCTGCTTCAGGGTATTTCTCTTGTTCAGGCTCTTGCTCTCGCTCAGGACACTGCTCGGGCTCAGGGTCTTGCTCTGGCACAGGATACTTCTCTGGCTCAGGGATTTGTTCTTGTTCAGGGTCTTGTTCTGGCGTGTCCTGCCTCTTACGATGGGCCTCGTTCTCGTAAACACTGTCAGCACTAGAGAGTGTGTCGGACACAGATGAAGTGATTGACTCATTCCTGTTGAGCTCTTCATGCCCTGGTTCTAATATCAAAGCTTCCTTTTGATCCTGACAAGGCATTTCAGGGCAAACACTGGTGTCAGAGCAGTCAGGCTTGTCAGTCTCAATTGTCTCATTTGGCAGGTCGGTTAATGATTTGTCAAGCATAGCCTTTTCCTCTTGGGAATCTGATATCTCTGTCTCCAAACAAACTTGCGCATCATACACCCTGAAATCCTTTCCCTGCTCAGGTGAATCAGCCAGTGCGACCTCCACTTCACAGTCCATCGGCAGCTCTGATTGTTCAGTAGTTTCCATGGTGACAGAGAAGGAGTTGTGATTCTCAGTTGTGCTGCAACCTTCGTTCAGTTCTTTTCCATCTGCCTCTCCATCTACCAAGGTAGCTTTCTGAAAAAAAGAGAGAATAAGGAAAAGAGACTTTCATTTTCTGGGTGGGGAAGTAGGCATTATTAAGTTGTACCTCATAGCTGAGTTCTGTGGATATGAAACAATAGCAGAGTATTCACAGTATCCTTATTTCACCTTGGCACTTTTTTTTGCAGTCTCTTTACCCTTGTCCTCCTCCAGTGTCTCCTTGTATTTAAAACATCTTTTAATTTTCTGATGACAAGTCTTTTCTTTACTGGTTGTTTATGTCACACAAGCAAATTCAAAGACATTATCATGTAAACAGATAGAGGCTGATGAATTGGACAGGGACAAGCCAGGAATATTATTTGAACATTTGTTCAATATTGCACACAGCACATTAGAAAAATCAAACCATTGTAGTGTAGTAGTGTATGTATGTATATTTATTGTGAAATAAATACAGCAGCAACTCTTGTGATCCATACAAATAAGAGCCTGAATTGCCACTGAACATTGCCTGTGGCGATAATAATTTTTGTCAATACAGAACTCAACAATGATTATCATCCTAACTGTCACAGTGGATCAGCTCATAAACACTTCAGGATGTTATTGTGAATGTAATCACACCAACGTGACTTTGGCAAATCCTCCCGAACAAGTCTTGAAGTGCAATAAGCACACTAAAGTTGTCCAAGGACAGCACTTAAATGTTCAATGCCAGGAGGAGAAACACTTTCAGATGTCTGTGGAGAGATGCAGGTGGTGATGACGACGACGATAGTGTCGGGTTATGTGTGAGTGTAAAGGGGGCTTGTGCTTGCTGTTGCTGTGCTAAGTGAATGTTTCTTTAAGTGGGTTATGTGCAGAAAGAGAGGAAGCACATCAAAAGCAGCTGAATTAGATGGCATTATACATCTGTTCTTATGTAAGACTGCTGGGCTGGGTCTGCCTCCCACACACTGCCAGAGAGTCCCTTTAAGGCTGAGCCCCATGATGTGTTCACACATGCATACTCAAAAGCATTTAAATTACTATTAGTAGTCACTGTGAGAATCATCACTGGCTACATTCATTCCATGATTTCTCCTCCCAGTTCATTGTGGGTTACAGTGGCTATAAAAGAGCCTTTAGCCAGATCTAAATTATATTATCTGAGCACAGTTGTGGCTGAGTGGGACTACATGAGTTGTACTCTAATGTAGCACATCTTTGTGTAGAAAACACCAACAGGGAGATGAGTTTAAATTTGGAGATTTGCAGTGTTGCAGTTCCACTGAATTTACAGCATTCACTGGTAGTGTTTACAGAGTGATACTTAAAAAAAAGCCAACATTTGTTTGTGTTTTAGCTATGGATAAAAATGCTTTTCTTTATTCATTGTGACACACTGATGTCTTTTAGTAGTTTTTGGACAACAATGGAGCTCTATGGCTCAAAGGCTTTGGATACACACACAAAGCTTCTTAGTAGGATACAATAATTGTTTGGTTTTGTTTACAAGAAGCAAAATATAGATCATTACAAATATTTCAGCCCTGACCAATGAATGTTGAAGTCTCATATGTCCAGCATAACTCAATGCCTATTCATGCAATCAACACAAATACATTAATTTCAAAAGATTCAATACTGTGACTGCAGCATGGCATTTCATATATTCAGCACATGATCATAGGTACTCAAAGTTAGTTCATGATGGGTAAAAATCGATGTAGTCATGGATGAATATTAAGTAGACATGAATCTTTTGATGCGTAGCATGAGATGCCACCTGAGCAAACTCTACGAAGGACTAGTGAACTTTAGTTACCTTTGCTTGTCATCAGAACATACTGTGATTTGGTATCTTGGCAGTGTTTTGTATTAACAGTTGTTGTTGAAACAATCTCACTTTAGTTTGCCTTTAGCCTTTTAAAAAAACTTTAGTGTCATTGAATGCATTCACAAGTTGTAATCTTAATTAAAAAAATGTCTAAATATGTTATCCAAATTATCAGCCACCCTGTCTCCTAGGAATTAGGTTTATATTGGATTAAATTGTCTTCCCAATCATCTTGTGTTGTGCTGCCTAGATTATGTTCAGAAGCAACATTTTGGGCTACATTTATGGTTGCAGTGAGGTTGTTGCAGTGAAGTTGATAGACTGAGACTTATGGTTGAAGAACCATGAATTGCAACTTCCCTGGTTTACTTTGTGAACCAGCTGTCTGGCCTAATTAGCCAGATAATGCTAAAGATCAAGTTTCGTTGTGTAGACCTGCAGTGTCTGTAGATAAAAACAGCTCATTCTAAGAGACAAACACAGTGATTCTTATTTTCAGGTGATTATACACTAATGAAAACATACCTATGGATATTATATTAAATTTCTGCCAATAGATCCTCCTAAATGTTACCCGTTCAGGTTATTTTCATTGTGGGTAAAGTGAAGTCTGCAAATTGTAAAGCAGATTCTCTGTGACTGGTGAATGTAAAATTCTGAGGTGAATACTATATATTCTTAGATCAATACCAAAAACTGGGTGCTGGTATTTTGTGCCCCATTCTTTGGAAGGCTCTGGTTGAATCCACCTCACCCTGCAGCTGATGTCATGTGGTCCTGCTGCCAAGTGTCGGGCCAGCAGCTCACCAGGGCCTGTGGGCTCTTTTCACTCCAAAGCTCAGAGTACTTAACAGGATACCCACGGTTGCTGACTCCAAACATCAAACACTGCCAGCGGCTGTCCACTTTCCACCAAGTTTCTAATCCTTTCCCCTTTCCCCTTTCTCCTCATCTCTCTTTGGAACAGTCACAGTAGGCACATTCCTTTCATCAAGCCCGCTCCTGCATAATGTGAGTCTAACCAGAGAGTGGGATCAGTATTTGAACTGCAGTGTCTATTGTGACAATGCTTAAATCACCCACAAATCAATATAATCATCTTAGTGTGTGAATTACTCCTGCAGGATGAAACAGTACAGAATGCACTGCTCTCTGCACACAGTGACTTGACAGTACCAGGCAATATTTGAATGTAAAAACCATGTATTGTTTCAGATTTGTATTCAGTGTGCAACATCTGTTTCTCTATTAATTACAATGCAATAGGTTGACTTTATTTTTTCACATATAAATCTGTAGTTATTGGTGGATAATCTTCATACCAGTGGCAGACTCAGGCTATTTGAGGGTGAAATTTTAATTTCACATTTAAACTCCTAATTCATTCAGACATTATGATTCTCTAAATTGTCCTGTTTTATATTGTAATGCTCCTCCTCTTGTGTCTTTGTCCCTCCAGTAATTACTTGCATGAGCACATTACGCCGTTGGTTGCCTACCACAGGGTCTGCAATGTTTACCTGCCACGTTTCTACAGAAGGCCAGAATGGACAAACCAAAAACTGACTCTAGATAGGGGCATTTTTCACATTTCATGGCCACTGTAGTTTTTCCTTCGCACTTGGAAGGGGAGGGTGAAGCGATGGAGTTGCAACTACACCACTAGATGGCACTAAATCCTACACACTGACATTTTAATGTACAGAACTTCTCCTGTCATGATGTCCTGGAAGCTTCCTGTTGGCAGCACACAGCCTCATACTGAAATACCGTCTTTGTCTTCAACTTCGACTAACCCTAACCCTTCACACTAACTAACTTTGTGACACATTCATGTTGTAACCTCATTTTATCTGAAGAATCTCACCCAGTTTTCAACTAGAAAATCAATGTTGAAATCCGGGTTGGTGCTCATTGGGATTGTCACAGCTTTCTTCCAGCTCAGGTGTAGCCAGGTTCATGATAAAATTATCATTATGATTATGTCAGACCACAGCGTTGTGTGTTTCTTGCTCACATTAGGCATCCAGTAAAATTATTTTATCCATCCCTTTTCATACACAACTGCTCACACTCCCTGATTTGCCAGTGGAAGTTTTCAGAAAACACACATACACACACACGCCTACAAGGACACGTGCATGCGACAGACTGTGCCATGGTAACCATCAACAGGCCTGACACTTAGTGCACTGCTCAGCTGTCGCCTCCTCCACCTCCCCCACACCACCTCATCAGCAGACTGCTAAATGTGACGGGGAGCGGTGCTGTTTTCTTGTCGCGTGGGAAAAATGGTAAATACAAACTTCCTACTAAAAAATGTTCACATCGTCATATTGGACAAATTGAAAGAATCTTGGTCATATCTATGTTTAACACACTGGAAGAGCATGTTTGCATTTTGCAAGTAGACATGATGGTAGTTCCCACAACAAATCCCACATGTCCTTTTTGGTATTGCTACAAGGACACTTGTCATTTTTCCACAAAGTCTGTCTATGTTTACAGCATTAATCAAAATGTGGCATCAACCTTTCAATGTGATGCTTCCAACATTAAGTGTGGAGAAACTGAAAGCCTATAGCTTTATCAAAATAGTAAAACATGGCTTCCATCAAAGCTGTCCACATTGTACATACTCTGTTTAGTTAGCTAGCAGGCTAATCATCAAAACAGGACAGTGTGCAGAGTTGTTAAAGTGAAACTACCAGTCTCTGTTTATGGACTAACTCAAGAAACTTAATTCAAAACCTCAATGATATAATAATGCAAAAAAATTTAACCACACAAGCTTACTCAACAGTCAGCCTATTTCTTTGGCCAGGGATGGCATATTTAAAAAAAAAAAAGATCTGATACTGTTTCTTTTTTTAGTGGCCTTTAACAAACAGCATTTCCCAAAATCCCAAAACCATCCAGCAGTAAAGGATTACATGTACTCAGGATTATGTAATCAGACTACAGAAAATAAGTGTCTATAATCATCCCAGATTATGTTTTAAAAAACAAAGTTATCTGTATCTGTTCAACCAACTAAATCTGTGTTTGTGTCTGTACAAGGAATGGGCAGGGCCTAACCAGACTGGGTGATGCTTATACCAGAAGTGGGAGGAAATTGATATGGGTTGATCAGAAGTTACTATATTTATTAGAAAACTATTGACAGGATTGAGCTTCAAACCAATGTTTCTGACCACAAGAGTAAGAGAAC